GAGCCAAGGTTACATTACCGGAACTGAGGTGCTCCAGGGCGAGAGATAACAGCTCTGTCTAATCTCATCCTTTGATCGACATTCTAGAGTTGTTATTCTCTACAGAGGTTGTAGTGAGGTTGTTCCTGCGAAGCGGTGACTCCGAGAGTAGAGGTTACTCTTTGGAGACAGTATAGCTCATTGAGTGAGAGCACTCTTTGAGTAGAGGTTACTCTTTGGAGACAGTATAGCTCATTGAGTGAGAGCACTCTTTGAGTAGAGGTTACTCCTGAGACGAGGCGATTCCCGGGGCTGAGGTACTTGCAGTGTGTGGATCTCGTTCAAGAGTAGAGGTTACTCCTGAGACGAGGCGATTCCCGGGGCTGAGGTACTCCCAGTGTGTGGATCTCGTTGGAGAGCAGAGGTTTCTCCTGAGAAGTGACGACTCCAAGAGCAGAGGTTACTCTCGGAGCCTGAACCCCTTCCAAGAGACAGTGTAGCTCAAGAGTGAATTGAGCAGAGGTTGTAGAGAGGTATATCCTGAGAAGTGGTGACTCCAAGAGCAGAGGTTACTCTCGGAGCCTGAACCCCTTCCAAGAGACAGTGTAGCTCAAAGAGTGAAAGCACTCTTTTGAGGAGAGTTTAAGGGTGGTTACTCCCGTGACAAGGCGACTCCCGAAGCAGAGGTTACTTCTGGAGCCAGGGCTCCTTCCCAAAGACGAGATAGCTCAAGAGGGAGAGCTCTTTTCAAGCAGAGCAGAGCAGAGTAGACAAGCAGAGTATTGCAGAGAGAGAGCATAGCAGAGATCAGAGCATAGCAGAGTAGAGTAGAGACAGACGAACTCAGAGCCAGAGTGTTTTTCGACTCATACTTATATATAGAGACATTATTGTATTACTGGCCATAAAGGCATTTGAGGACATTTTGAAATTGATTGTTATAGTAATTATAGTGTTGAATAGATTGTTAAAATCCCGTAATTGATTGTTTTTACATTGTGTTTTCCATCTCCTAGCTCAGTGACAGCTGAAGCACCAAACCAGCTCGGCGCCCGTGATAAACACCTCCGAATCCCTTATCATCGCCACCAGACCTTCTCCGAGGGAGTACGGGTACTCGGCGGGAGTCTGGCGCGCGACATTGGTGGCAGTGGTGGGATTTTTCACTGTTCCTAGAGATGGAGAGAAGCATGGAGATGTCAGAGGCAGGGAGAAGTCCAAGAACTTCTCACCACGGCGGCTCAATTGATGATCCAATGGGTATCCCAAAGGAGAGGACACTCAGGAGGACACCGGAGCCAGACGACACAGTGGTTTTTAAAGGTGGCCCCAGAAACCTGGAGCTGGAGACCCAAGACACTCTTCCGTTGGAGTCAAGGGACTCGGTTCTGAATCCAGAGAAGTATGGTGCCATGGGTGGTACAGAGAGATATTTGCATGTGCCTGAACAGAGACCAGGGCAGAGAGTGGCCCAAGACAGTACTGGGTATTGGTCAGAGTCCAGGATGCAGTCCAGGATGCAGAGTGAGTTCACTCCCTCCAAGTTTCGTACTCCTGGAGTACTAGGCAGACAGGACCAGCCCTTCCCTGTTACTTCCACAGAGATCAAAAGTGATCATGGAATGGCCAAGAAGCCCACATCAAGAGATGATTCTCTAAAGAAGACGCAGCTGGAACTTTCAAAGGTGGGACAAGATGTGGAGTCCCTGAGGCAGGATGTCCTGGGTATTAAAGGTGGTCTGGGTCAGAGTCTCCAAGCCCAAGATGAGATGAAGCTCAAAATGAGTCAAGGCCAGGAAGAGATGAAACTCGAGATGAGACAATTACATGAAACACTGGTGAACTTAGTACCTTCAATTGCTTCCTCTCGATGCTCAACTCCACGTAGAAGGTCGATGAAGAGTCACACAGACTTGAGGGAGAAAGAGACTGAGGCAGACATGTTGAGTGAAGGTGCTCCTGAGAAACTGCTGGGAGAGACTTCAAGGAGGTTGAGTTTAATTACTCGAGAAGAGAATCCTCAATCATCTATGGCCAGATGGGAGGACAAGTTACTAAGGCCTGCAGCTAAGAGGAGTCCAACTCGCTCACAAGGACCTATGCAGCCCTGGAGAGAGGAAAGGCCCCCTCCACTTCGACAAGAGATACCAGAAAGAGAAATCCGGCAGCAAAACCAGTGGGCAGAAGCTGAGGATCCAAGGAGTCAAGCCCCATTTCTAGAGATGAAGATCCCAGAGAAGTACAAGGTATCAGACACTGCAGAGTGGGTAGAGAATCTACAGCAGCCCTCCTCTCGCCCCATGCCTGTTTATGACCAAGAGATGAGTCAAAGAGTGTTTAGGAGTTTTCCTGTGACTAATTCTCGTGAGGTTCCCATGGAGGAAATCCCAGAGCTCAAACCATGGAGTTTGAGAAGGCAGGATCGAGGTTTCACACCTGCAGAGAGATCTGGAACTCAACCAATGGGCACGCCCACAAAGAGACCAGCTCCAAATATCGCAGTGCCTAATACATCGGAAGAGGTGCCTGGTAAACTGGCTTGGAAGTCTCGAGACACTGCAACTGAAGAGATTAATAGAACATTACAGATTGCTGGAGAGGCTATGGAGATGTGTAAGTCAAATACAGAACAGGTCGTGAATATGTGTAAGGCCAACACTGAGCAGCTGGTGAAAGCACTGGGCTCATCGAACTTTGAGAAAAAGACCAAGATAAAGCCTAACCAGTTGTTTGATGGGAAGACACCATGGCTCGATTACAAGGTGTATTTCCAGAACTGCATTGACAGTAATGGATGGAGTGATGAGGAGAAGCGGCAACAGTTGACAAACCAGTTGAGAGGAGATGCCCAGCAGATAGTGCAAGAGCTGGAGCAAGGCCACTCCTATGATGAGCTGATCGAAGCACTAACTAAAAGATTCGGATCAGGTGAAAAGGCTTCCATGTATGAGGCAGAACTCAATACAAGGACGAGGAAGCCCAAGGAGTCCTTACAGAGTCTAGGTCAAAGCATAAGGAGATTAGCTGCTCTTGCATATCCTGAGATGCCTCGCTCTTCTCAGGATAGGTTGGCCAGGAAATGTTATGAGAATGCCATAACAGATGATGAGGTCCGAGCAGCTGTGCATCGAAGAGACCCCAAGTCTCTTGATCAGGCCATAGAAGAGGCTCAGAAGGAGGAGGCATACTTGGAGTCAGAGCGAATCCGGAAAGGCCTGAAGCCAAAACAGCGGGACCATCACATTGCAGCCGTAACAGATGACTCACAAAGAGACGAACTCCTGAAGATGATAAAGGAGTTCCAGCAAGGAATCCAGAAGGGGATGCAGGAGGGACTGAAGGAGATTGCAGGAGCTGTAAAGGCCTCCAAAGAGAAGAGAGAACCCTTCATCTGTAGGAAATGTGGAGCAGAAGGGCATACAGTGAAGAGATGCCCCTTGATAATTTGCATTAACTGCTCTGAGGCAGGACACATGGCAGTTGAGTGCCGGAGACCCAAGAAAAAAAGAGAGAGGGATAATAGTAGCTCAACAGTCAACCCAGTTCATTTCCTCGATCGAAGTGGTCAAGAAGTCACAAACCCCGAGAGAGCTGATAATGTTGGAAAGGTAGTGGCCATGGTGAAAATCTGTGGAGTGACTATGGAATTCTTGATAGATACCGGAGCTGTGGTTTCTCTCATGAGTTTGCATAGCTTCAATCGGATTTACTACAGAGATAGACCAAAGTTGAAATCAGCAAAAGATGTGTTGCTTCAAGCAGATGGTTCTCCACTAGCATCATATGGATCATGTGAACTTGAGGTAGATTTGGATGGAAGAATCACTCCCCTCGACATCACAATTGCAGAGATTGGCCAGGATGGGATTTTGGGGACAGATTATCTTATGGCTAGTAAAGCCAACATCAAATATGGTTCCCTGCAGATGAACTTCCAAGAACTGGAGGACTCATCAGAAGCAAAGACTCAAGAAGAAGTCCCGAGTTGCAGTAGCTCTCTGTTGGGAGGGACATCCTCATCCAGTATTAGGAGGCTAGAAAGTTCACTGACTCCTCCCCTGGAAACAAGTGAGAAACAAGGAGACCTTGAAAAATAGGTGATCCCGATTGATTCTGACGAAGACGAGATAACGTGTGTTCCTGAGACTGATGTAGAAGATGATGACGAGCCAACATGCCTGCCTGGACTAGGGAAACTGTTTGACTCCAGAAGAGCTGCAGGAG